TTCTGCAGTTTAACAAGCACTTCAACAAGCCTGTTTTTTCCCGCTTGGCAAGCCAAGCTGACTTGACATGGGGGCGTGGCAGCATCGACGATTCTATTTTTTTAATCAATAATCGAAATTTAGCATACATTGCGTGACACCCCTAACACATAAATACTTGTGTATAAATGTTCATTGCTAACCTTTCTATGAACAACTGCGGATCAATGATATAGTGCAAAATAGCCTACTGTAACGTCTGTGATTTTATATAAAATAGATAAATAAATAAATAAAATAAATGCAACAAATATGAACACACACAGCCCTTTACAGTCTCCGATATGTTACCAATTGCAGAAAAACTACACACAGCATACATTTAGTCCTTATTTGGCTTCAAAACCAACATACAATATAGCCCAGAGTCAGCACCAACCTCTCATCTGGATCTTTAATCTTCAGCAGCACATGTAACCTCTGTTAGGGAGTAATTCCTTCATTCTGAGTTCATAATATTCAGAAAGGTGATAATAATAATAGTTAAACATGGCAGTTTTAGGTTGCTGAAAGAATCATTTGCTCGTTTTTTTTTTTTTTTTTTTTTGCGCTTCACTGTCGTGTTTGTCCACTTCTGAAAGGATCGCCTGTCAGAAGCACTTCAGTAATCATGCGCACATTATTACCATCAGCTCAATAAGTTTGTTATTTCAATATAGTCGTGCTGCGAGCGCATGCAAGCACTCTGGAGAAAGTGAAACCAGTCATGCTTTTAGGCGACCTCTTAAACGTCAACACGCAGATTCTTTTTGCCAACAACAAGGTTTGTTTGAGCTCGGCTCGAACATGCCTCGTTATTATATGCATACAGTATTATGATGTAATTTTTTGTGGGTTTATTTAAAAATGCCACTTTGTGTCTCATTCTCCTGGCTTGTGCAAGAACTAGTGGCATTTGTCTGTAAACCAATAGCATTCAGTTGTTTGTCTGGCTCCGCCTTTTTGTACCCTTTTGTTGTGCTAAAAAGTGGTATGATATGGTTCACTTTTTGGTACCTTTTAACTGCGGAAACGGACATAAAAACGTACTGAACCATACCGTACCACTCAGTGGAAATGGGCCATTACAAAAAGAAAGAGGAAATATTGACAATCCAACCCATTATGCAGAGAGAAAAGAGAGTTTTGAGGTTTATTTCAGGAAATCAGTGGCATTCTGATACTTTGCTTGTGCTATATAATACACATTTCCGTAAAACAAACCCTGAACAGAAACTGCCAGTATGTCAAAGGATTGAACACACACACTTGCCATACAGCTGAATGGGAAAGGTGCGTGCCAAGCACTGAAACCAGCATACAGAAGGTGGTTACAGCAGTGTTTCTCAACCATCGGCCACTTTCTGACTTTTGTTAGATTTTGCTGTATTTGGCTAAACCATTCTTGGGTGGCTCGCCAATAGATTAGATGACTTTAAAACATAAAATATAGCTGACCAAAGTTCTTACAGAGAGAAGACTTTATTGAAGACAATGACTAGTGCAGTTCCTCAGCATCTATGTTAACTCGTCGTCTTCAAGTACTTTCTATGAGACACTGCTTTATAACAAAAGATGTAACCTCCCCCAGAGATTACCCAAATGGTTTAGTTGGGTCACAAAACTCTTGAGTTCCTGTAGGCTTGGTTTACACCTTTTCAGACGCAGATACTTGTTTGCATATGAAACGAGCAATATAATCGATCCCTTTATATTACACAATTAGTGCTTTTGTTATAAGGTTCCAAACCTTTATGAGTTTCTTTCTGCTGTTGAACACAAAAAAGATATTTTGAAGAATGCTAAAAACCTGTAAGCATTGACTTTCATGGTATTTGTTTTTCCTACTATAGAAGTTAATGGTTACAGGTTTTCTACATTCCTCAGAATATCTTCTTTTGTGTTTTAGAGACTACAGAAACTTATAAAGGTTTGAAACGAATAAAGTGCGAGCAATTGACCAAATTTACATTTCTGTGTGATATGTCCATTAGATATTTATAGTTCACAAAAAATATTTAAATTTATTCTATTGATAAAAATGATCCAACGTATATATATATATATATATATATATATATATGTGTGTGTGTGTATATATATGTGTGTGTGTGTGTGTGTGTGTGTATATATATACACACACACACGTTGGATCATTTTTATATATTTTTTTTCTTTTATAAGCCACTGCTTTGCACTGTTCATTCATTCAGATCAGAGCAACCACATTCATCTTTTTTAGTCATGTTACTGGTGCAGAAGCCCTTACAGTATTTTCATTGCCGTAATTAACACAGTGATCATCTCACAAATCTCAAAGTTCTCTCGTGAACCATTCAGTACTTTGCTAATCACTTTTTTATATTATACACGTGGAAATATTAAATGAATTGTGACTCTCTTGAGGATCTTGTTAGATTATTCACTTTTGCTTTAATGAATCATCTCCTACACCATTCGTTTATTTGGAGCTTTTATCAATCGTCACTTTTAGCCAAGATTTAATGTGATTTTTATTTCAAGACTGTAGTAAGCCGGACAGGTTTGTGTGTAGTTAATGACATCTTCTCAGCTCTCTCACTCATGTTTTTCCTGAAGATATGCGACTCCTATAGAGTTGCCTTAGGCTTCTTTTGTGACCTCTGTGCAGCAACACCCAGTTTTACTGGCCCGGGCGAATTTGGGCAGGTGCATAACTCACTTTTGTCATCTGTAATTATAGCCTGAGAGCTGTAAAGTATATTCAATGCTTTGAGAAGTTTGTAATGTTCCTTCTTTTTTGGATATGCTCCATGTCGAAGTTCAGATTTAAAATGTGGTTATTTTTATTTATTTCCGTTTTTTAACTGCCTCTCAGAGTCTAGGAATAGAGCAACTGTAATCTACAGGTTGTATAAAAATATTTTGTGTTGTTTGTTGCATTATTATGAGTAATTATTCGCTCTTGCAGTGGTTCCCAAAATGGGGGTCGTGAGACAATGAGGGGAGGTCGCTTGGTGATTGGAAAAAATATCATACATGTTATTAAACTATTAGAATTACTATATTTTATCCTTAACCTACAGAATATACAAATAGTATTTGATGGTTACATAAAAAACAACATGCAAATAAAAAGGCATCAGCCTTCAGTTCATCATCAATTGTAATGTGACCCCCTGGGGTTATTACGCTAGGTTAATGACACTGCGATAGTGTTAGTTGCAGCGGCACAATGTTTAACTTTGACACCACTACTGCACTCACGTAAATTAAAAAAATAAAGGCCACGACTAATCAAAGAGGATGATTTCCAAGTGGCGGCCTCCAAAATTAAGCCAAGAATAGTCTTGGGCTGTATACATTGTGCCCATTATTCTCATTAGTTGAGGTTAATATTAAATTAAACAAATAAATAAAGACTATGTAAAATGTAATGGTTGTTAGACTGTTGTTCTTTTTTGTGTTGTCAATAAGCTTGTTTATATAATTCCTATTTGTGTGTGCCCAATGTTTGAATGTTTATAACCACTGCCGAGGATAGCGGGGGTTGCGAGGCATTGGAATTGTTATTTTACGGTTGTGAGCTGAAAAAGTTTGATTTGCAGAGTGTATCTTTCTATTTAAATACATTTTTTAAAATGTTTTAGAAGTTCGTTTTGAGTATGAGTGTGTGTGTGAATGTGTGTTTGTGGATGTTTCCCAGAGATGGGTTGCGGCTGGAAGGGCATCCGCTGCGTAAAAACTTGCTGGATAAGTTGGCGGTTCATTCCGCTGTGGCGACCCCGGATTAAGGGATTAAGCCGACAAGAAAATGAATGAATGAAGTTCGTTTTGAAAACAAATATTTTTATTATCAATTTCTCAGTGAACATGGGTAATATAGTTTGGTGCATTTAAACAAAACTGATTAATTAAACAGATGAACTTATTAAAATAATATTTTCGTCATCTTTAGAAATAGAAAGATAATACATTTAAAGTCATACAAAATATTGGAAAAAAATATTAGAAACTACAAAATTTCAACACAATTTTGTATCTCTTAAACTCCACTATATTTACTGTCACTTCTTAACATTCAGGAAACGCGTTGAAATCTGCGCTCAGTTTTATTAATCTTTGCATACCCAAAGTACGCACTTGTTTTGGTCGCTACTGTTTTGAGTTTTCTGCCGCTGATGCTTGGAATCATCTGCAGCAGACTCTAAAGCTCAACACTTTCATTCCACTATCATCTTTTAAAATTCAATCCAGTCAATAGTACAAGATCACTGTGCTTGTTTTTTCTTTTTCCTTGTTTTTCTTTATTATTATCTGCATTTGTGAAATTGTTATTTTATTATGTCCCTGCTGCTGTTCTTCAGCAACCCTCTGCCCTTCCTTATTGTAAATGAATATTAGCTGTTTTAGTCCAGCATCTACATTAGTAGGATGATGAAGATGAAACCAAAGTAGACGTTTCAGCAAGACAATGATCCAAAACACTGACAGAGAATCTCTGAGATGCTTTCAGAGAAACTAAATCAAGCTGTGGAATGGCCCAGCCAATCACCTGACTTGAATCCAGTAGAAAATGCATATTAAAACTCAGATTTGATAGATGAGACCCACAGAACCATCAAAATCTTTCTACTCTGTTGAAGTCTGGGGGAAAAAAATCACACCTGAGCGATTCATATGACTTCATTCTCCACATGAGAGTCATCTTTAAGCTGCCATTACCAAAAAAAGCTTTAAAATAAAATATTTAATACATTTTAGTAGTATTGTTATTATACAGAAATATTTTTTCAAATCTTTATTTATTTATTTTTTGTTTTGTTGGCTCATTTCCATGTCAACAGCTTCTTTTAGAAATATCATTCCCAGGAAAAAAAGATGTGTTGAATACTTATTTCTGCCATTGTAATATTTAACTGAGCAATAGTAAATCATAGGTTGTCTACATATTTTTGCGTTTTCTAAATCCTAAAAGTCATTTTTTATTTTCCCATCTACAGCTCGAGTTATTCGACCGCTGCCCTTGAGTTTGAGAAGGAGCACAAGATCAATCCCGTGTACGACTCGCCCAAGATGTCTCGCCGTAGTTTGAGACTCCAGACCAGCAGTGGTTTATATGACAACAGCTTCACTGAGGTGGCAGGGAATCACAGTGTGGGCTCATACAAGAGAACCAACACCAGCACCACTACAACCACCAGCAGCAGCAGCAGCGTCAGCAGGTCAGATCAGATCTTCATCAGTTTGCCACTAGACGATAACAAACCAAGTGTGCAACATGGCTTCTTATCAGTAAACCCACAGAGGCTCATGTCAGAACATCAACATGTCTGGGACTAAAGTGTGTGTATATGTACACAGTTGATGTCAGAATTATTAGTCCAATCTCTGTTTATTGATTTTTTTCAACACATTTCTGAACGTAATAGTTTTAATAACTCATTTCTAATAACTGATTTATTTTATCTTTGCCATGATGGGAGCACATAATATTTTATAGATGTTTTTCAAGACAGTAGTATTCAGCTTAAAGTGACATTTAAAGGCTTAATGAGGTTAATTACGCAACTTATGGTAATTAAGCAAATCATAATGATGGTTTATTCTGTAGACAATTAAAAAATAATATTGCTTTAGGGGGCTAATAATATTGCCCCTAAAATGGTTCAAAAATATTTTAACTGCTTTTATTCTAGCTGAAATAAAACATAAGACTTTTTTCAGAAGAAAATGTTATAGGAATATTCTGGAAAATTTCCTTGCTCTCTTAAACATCATTTGGGAAATATTTGAATAAGAAAAAAGGATTCACTGGAGGGCTAATCATTTTGACTTCAACTGTATATACACAACATTTTATATGTAAGCGCTGAGTCGCTATTTGTAAAAGATTGATGTTAGCTTTTGAAAAATGAATGACAGTGAAGATATCGCCTTTGCTCCATATAGAAATTCCCCATAAAGGTATGTTTGAGCGATCAGCCCAACAGCACATATTTTACATGACTTGCAGCAAGTTTGTACTGCTCACCTGGCAGCACTTACTAGTTTAACTCGTGTTAAATTATATTATTATTATTATATATAAATACAATTTATGGTGCTATTATGCTTATATTGAGTCGATATTTTAAAATACATATTCTTGCTGGTTAAATTGTATTCTTGCCGCAATATCTTGTTGCAACATGGTTTTTTTTTGCAATATTGTAGATACTGTCGGGTTCATATGGGTGCTTGAAATCCTCGAAAATGCTTGCATTTTTAATGTATTGTTTTGATGTAATGAAAGGTGCTTTAAAGCTATACATACGGTTATTATAATGGGCCTTGCACAGAGCCGCCGTGTGCTCCGGTATCCCCCACAGTGCAAAGACGTGAAATAGACGGCAACTAAATTGGACATAGTGTATGAGTGTGTGTGTGTGTGTGTGTGTGAATATGAGCCTGTATGGGTGTTTCCCAGCACTGAGTTGCGGCTGTAAAGGCGTCCACTGCATAAAACGTATGCTAGAATAATTGGCGGTTCATTCCGCTGTGGCGACCCCTGATAAATAAGGAGAATGAATAAATGCCGTCTTTGCAGCTTATGATTAAAAATAATTTCCTGCAGTAACAGCATATTTTCTTTCAAACTTTGCGTACATTTAATGAATGCATCACCAATCTGCATTTTTTTTTTGTATTCCAGCGAGTTGTTCTCAGTGTCACTTGATTCATGACTGAATGAGCTGGTTTCAAACCTGAATCTGAATGAATGACTCGGTGACAATTACATGGACTTGGTCGCCACCCGCTGGCATTTTTTGTTTGTTTATTTATAGTTACATTTTTTAGTAATGTAATATTTTGATATTCAACAAAATAAGAGATCATTTAAATAAATATGAATTCAAGATAAAAGATGGCATCTGAGATGTGAGTAGATGACAATTGAGATCAAGAATCAATTTATCTTGAGAATGACAGAGATGAGTCCTGCACAGTGAACAGAAGCATTTTGACCAATTCTTCTTGCTGAATAGTGACCAGATCACTACGTGATGCTGGTGGAAGATAATGTTTCCCGACTTGCTCCTCCAAAACACCCCTAAGTGGCTCAATAATATTTAGATCTAGTGACTGTGCAGGCCATGGGATGTGTTCAACTTCACTTTTATGTTCATCAAAACACTCGGTCACTAGTCTTGCTTTGTGTATTAGTGCATTATAACCCTGAATTACAGTACCACCTTCAGGATACAGTGTTTGATGCACATGGTCCTCCAGAATGGTTGGGTAGTGCTTGGCAGTGACATACCCATCTAGCACAAGTATTGTGCCTAGAGAATGCTATGATTGCAGCTGAAACCATCACTGATCCACCCTCATGCTTCACTATGGGCATGCAACAGTCTGGGTGGTATGCCTCTTTGGGGCTTCTCCACACCATAACTCTTCCAGATGTGGGAAAGTTATGGACTCATCAACGAACAGTAGATGTTTCAGATTGTCCACAGCCCAAGATTTTTCTCTGCTGGCACCATTAAAACTGATGTTTGGCAATGGCACGAGTGACAAAAGGTTTGGCTACAGCAGCCCTGCCATGTAAATTGACCGTTGTTTTACCCAGACATTTGAAAATGTATATGTGAGAGCAGTAATCACAATACCGTGATATTTTTATCCAAGGTTATCATACCGTTAGAATCTTATAAAAGCCCATACTTAAGTCTGATTTATACTTCTGCGTCAGGTGACCGGCGTAACCCACGGCGCATGCAACGCGCGTGGCTGTGCATTTATACTTCTGCGCGCTGTCTCTGTTGGTCTGCATTAACACTTCCGAAACGCTAGTTGGCATTGAGGTGTAAATGTTCCTCTGTGTCGAGTTTCTTCGCTGCTTTATTGCTTTTCCTGAACACTTCCGGGATGTACAAGTGGCTCAAACTCGCTCATTTTGAGGCAGCAACCGGCGGACGTGCAGCAACTTTAACTATGAGGTAAACACAAAACAAAACTTTCCATCCGGAGCTCCTTCACGGGACTCCACACTTGTAAACAATCGCTACATTGGGTTCGCGCCATTCGCGCGGCTCTCGGTTCCACCCAGACTCATCAGCGCTACCAAGTCGACCAATCACAGAGCTTGCGCTACACGTTGTTGCGACGTGTAGTTACATTTTTTGAGAGGTGCGCGTCAGTGACGGCGACGGCCACGACGAAGGGCTATGCGCCAGCGCCGTAGCATACGCCGGTGTTTGACGCAGAAGTATAAATCAGCCTTTACTTGCGTCCACAGTTCCTCCTCTTGTATCTGGTTCGTCCTTCTGGGTGCTGACATTACACTGAATACCGTGGCTCTTGATATATCACAAATACTTGCTGTCTTGGTTCCAAACCTTTTGTGGAATATTTTAGAAATGCTTTTACTTTCAGTTGTCATTAACCCGTTGTGTGTTTTTCCCTCAGGTCTGTGCGGGGCAGAAGGCAGCAGCAGGATTCATCCATCTATGAGTCTCAGAGCGTCACTGGGACTCCTCAAAGCACATCAGACCTGAGCTTCACCAGTACAGACGCATCTCTGATTTCCAACCTTCTAGACCAGTCCACACTCAGACAGTCCTCCACCACAGAGACATACTCTGGTCAGTGGCTTTCACAGGTTCTGTTATTGTAGGACAGACACTGCAATTACAAATACTATTTCATGTATTATTTATTTATTTAATTTTTTAAAGGGGTGGTCCACTACGATATTATATTTTAAACTTCAGTTGATGTGTAATGTAGCTGTGTGAACATAAACAGCATCTCTGAATGTAAAATATTCAAAGTTTAATGCAAAGGGAGACCTTGATTTGTACAGAGTTAGCTTAGCAACGCCTACAATTAACGAATTTTGGGGACTACAAAAAATACTTCCGCCCCCTGTGAGATCACAAAAGTTCGTTATTGCGCATCCCACACTGCGCAGGTAAAGGCCGTGGTCAGAGGCGCTGTAACGTTACTGCAGAGAGAGAAATGCCATCCTGCTGTTTCCACAGAGCTGTTCCGTTTCTGTTGTTGGGCTTCCAAATGACACGACCCAAACACAGAAGTGCTTACAGTTCAATATTAATTATGTTCCAGAGAACTATAAAATACATAGCAAGCATGATTTGACAAAACACAGCTTCCAGAATCTCTCCCAGTTCAGTGCTGGATTCAGTTAAAATCTCCTCAAAGATGGAGCAAGGAGACGCTGTGAACTCTGAGTCATGACCTGTAAGTGTTTTTATTTGTTAAAAATTGATCATGACATGTACAGTGTCTAACTTTAACGGTGTGTTGTAGCAAAGATGTAAACAACGGGAAATTATGGTAACCGCTAACGACTTAGCTAACGTTACAAATCCATATTTATCAAACGGCTGTAAACGCACACACACACATACACATACACGCACTCTTGGCCAGCACCTGCGTCTCTCTGTGTGAGACGGCAGAGTTTCTCTCTATAGGCAGCTATGCTATGCGTTTTACAACTCGGACAATAAAGTCGCAAAAGATATGTGAACGATTCATGTTACTTACACAGGCATATTCCGCATATGCATGAAAGACGTCCTGTAACGCATTGATTTAAAAAAAATACAGCAATGATTTCCCAACTGGAGTGTAACATCAAAAACAAATCAATCCAGGCTCACAAAGGTCTCATCTCACATCTTGTGCTTTATTCTGTCACCACAGAAAATAACTTAATCCGAGCATGAGAGAAAAAGAACAATAAAAATCTCTCCCGCGCACATGCGCTTCTCGTGTTACAAATACTTCATCGTATACACGCATAAACACACTAAAAGGCACAGAAACAGTTAAAGGAGCCGCATCCCATTTTCACTCGTTACAGACACGTGTTGACTGACTGACTGACTGACTGTTTACACAAAACGCGCGTGCTTGTCAGGGCGTGACGTGAAGCCGATCGGCGTATCACAGCATATTATGATGATGACCAATCAGAGTCACTTGAGGGTGGGCCTTTTAGAGGAACTAGGAAATATGACAGTCGTTTTCATGTTAGCTGAGTAGCTGTGTATAATCAAAGTGAGATTTATGAAAAAATAACACGATTTCCTTCAAGTTAAACATGAGCACACATTGCTTTGCATCTTATTAACACAACCAAGCCTTAAAAATAACATTCTGGACCACCCCTTTAAATAAATGTTTTTGTTTTTTCAGTCTAATGTGAAAGTGAGTCGTGACGTGGCTTAATGTAAAGAAACATCCAAAATATCTGGAAATATCTTTTACCTGTTTAATACTATTCCGCAGATAATTTATTTTAAAAAAACATGGCTAATAAAAATAGTATTTTTCTAGTGAAATGTTATGCTGTTAGCTAGTGGTGTAACGGATCACGGTTTGGATCACACTACTATTTGATCCAAACCGTTGAAACCTTGAACTGTTGATCAAGTCAGGATTTACATGACTCGTTTTATTCATTTGTGTGATTTTTGCATTCAGCAACACGGAGAAGAAGAGCCGTTAACCGCTCTCTGTTGGAGAATGGAAACGTCAGTAAAACAGAGGCCCATGCTAATCTGGCTAACGGCTATTTCTGTAAAGACTGCTCCTTCCATGCCGAAGGAAACGAGAAAGAGACGTCATATTCTGTACCATACTCCACATCAGAGTCTGCAGCGTATCAGACGACAGAAGCAGCAGACGCCACTATGACCACCATGACCACCTCTCTGAACAGTGTGGACGGTGCAGGTGAGGACAATATGCATACTATGTTCATCCATTTCATCCATTCATACATTTCAATACACCAGTGGTTCTCAAAGGGGGGGTTGGGACCCAATGAAGGGGGGGTCGCCTGGTGATTTCTAAAACTCTATTTATTTTTATTAAACCATAAGAATTACCGTATTTTATCCATAACATACTGAAAAGGAAAAAAATGTCATTTATAGTTACTATAAACTACTGTATATAGTTACTATAGAAGCTTATAATAACTAGTTCTATTGGATTGCGACCCCTGGGGTAACTACATTATATTAAAGACACAGCAATAGCGTCAGATGCAGCAGATTGATTTTATAGCACCAGGTTAAACTTTCTGGCACATATACAGCACTGACATACGTTAAAAAACAATTCAACGGAGAATGGACTTGGGTCTATTGGTGTGGTATTCTCGTGGTTTCTGTATCTATAACCATCTCAGAAGATATTGGGGGTTGCGAGTCACTGGCATTGTTATTTTAGGGGTCGCGGGCTGACAAGTTTGGTAACCCCTGCAATACACTTATATAACCCAAAAAAGGATTTTAGACTGGGCAATGTGGAAAAACCAGTCATGAACATAGAAAATGAGAAATGAGACGATTTTACATGACTATAGGGATGCAACGATTATAGATTTTGGTTGTACGATTATAGTCTGAGGAATGATCAGGGTTACCACCATTATTATGCATTCATTGATTTCAAAACACTACGAGTTTAGTAAATGACATGAAAACTTCTTATATTTTAAAGTGTTTTTATTTATTATATGACTCGGTAACCAAATAATACAGCACATAATAAAAATAAAACACAAACAATACTCCAATTTCCTTTAGACTTAAAAATAAGTGAAAAAAAGTTTTTTGACATTAAAACATGAGTAATAATTTTACACTGAAAACATCAGAACAATCAATCAATAAATAAATAAATAAATACAAATATTAGGTATTAAAAATAGTATTTGTCTAAGCAACTAAGTGAATCCAAGCAACATATTAGCTAACTATTTTCCTTTTAAAGAGAACATATGTAGTCAGAAGCTGCTGAAATAACAAACTTGCATGTGAACAGCCCTTGATTAATAGCCTCAGCCATAGTTAATCTAGCGTGTGTGCGTATTAGCCTCTGTGTATAAGCTGGTAACTTTAAACTAGCGCGAAATCAGTTAATCGTTGCATCCCTGCATGACTACTCTCTATATTGAAAATTTTACATGTTTTTTTTCCACTGTATGTAGCACCACCCATGTGTATTAAGTTTAAGTTGACGCTTTAGGTTCAATAAAGTTTGTCTTCAGAAATGTTGAAGTGATACTATTGAAGTGATACCTCTGATACTATTCATTGATGCAATTCTTCATTTAAAAAAAGTACATTCTAATCTACAAATATCCCAAAGTTTGGATAAGATATCAGAAATGAACTCTTGGATAAATGAGAAAATAGAAAGAATTTACATTAACACAATGTAAAGATCAGGGTAAAAATCCAAAATAAAGCAAATATAGAAATACAGTGCCCAGCATAACTGAGTCCACCCTATTTTGAAAATGAATATTTTTATCCATTTGTCAGTGCATTTAAACAAAACAGATTTATTAAATAGATTTATTTATTAAAATATATTCACCAAATATATTGAAATTGAAAGATAACACAATTAAATTCAAGCAAAATATTGCAAAAATAAATTACAACCTACAAAAATGTACTAATTTTGTACTACTTTTTCAACCATTATCGTAAGGTATTTCATTAGATATTTCATTAGCTCCAGATTTGAGTCAGTACTGACTCATCTAGTATATATGCACAAATATAACATTGTATAGCTTCCTATTAAAAATATGAATTTAAAAGAGATTTGTGAGGGGTGGACTTATATATGCTGAGCACTGTATACAATAGTTACACACTCAACAGAATGTAAATTGACCCAATTATAAATCAACAAGTGACTTTGAGGTGACAAACACACTTAAAAAAATCAATTCTGTTAATATAGAAGCACAATTTTAGATATATTTAGAGAAATATGACTATTTTGCAATATAATGTATTATACTAGGTAAGAACTGCAGTAGCAACAACAAAAGTCACGATTAGTAATTTGATCAAACATCAAGAAAAATGATACCATTCTCAAATCAACACTGTACATCAGTTTGCAAAATAAGGATGTTATTTTATCATTAATTTTACATTTTATAAGGACTTTGGTATATTGAAATCTATTAAAATACAGAATTCAGAAAATGTATGAGTTCAATTGGTTATACATAATGAGATGAGGCTTTATTTGATTATTAAAATGTATGAAAAAAGAAGTCCCAGAGAGTAAAATGATCAACGCTGTATTAAAAACATTGTTGTTTTTTTGCCGTTTGCTTGTTTCAGCTCACGACAGCTACTGTGGCAGTGTGAACGTGCGGGATGTGGTGACCGCAGACCATCTCAATCTCAACGGGTCACTCTGTAAGTACACCCGAAACAACCCTTTGGTGCTGCCAGAGCAACAGAGAACAGCTACAGTATGAACTCATTATTATTATTGCCTAAAATATGGAGGTTTTATAGGTTTTTATTTAGATGTTATTCATCCAAATATAATGTTTCTTTATGTATTCTGAGTTTTATGATGGTAAACATGGATGTTGATGAGCATCAATGTTGGCTTACAGGTGACGACTGCAAAGGGAAGCAGCACATGGAGATGAACACAGAGCGTAAACACTATTCCTACATCCACCGCGTGCTCACAGTCTTGTGGGCTGTTGTTACTTACACAGGTTATAAAGCTTCAGATCTTTACAGCTTTTTCTTGTAGACATGGACTTCAGTGTTTAATGCCAGAAGAGAAATGATCTGCATCTATATGGCAATTTTTCCCCTGTGTGGTACGACTTTGGTTTTCCACTTTAGTTTAGTGCCGCTTCAGAGTGGGTCAGATTATATTTCTATTGTTTAATTTAAGCCACATGTACTTGGTCACATTCTGGATCATTTTATCCTATTCTCAGCCTCCTGTTTATTATGATATTAAAATCATAAGCTGGGTTTTCATTACAATGTTTTAATTTGCATTTTGAAGTCTCGTGACTAGGCCAGACAGATATTTTTGCTAATTCCATGCAGAATTTTGTTCATAAAAATTTAAATTGTTATTTTGATAGTATAGTAACTAAAACATTAAATAAAAAAATAAAAAAATGAAAACTTTTAAACTTGTATTTAGAGTTTATAATTCAAATACAATTAGATCTGCTTGTTTAAACAAATGAAGTCTTTAGTATAATATATTATAATATAATTTAGCATAATATAATTGAATATATGACTTTACAAACTGTATTGTAAATAAACCGTTTAAACATTTGCATATTATTCAATAATATTACTGAAATCAACATAAACTCTAAATAAGTTTAGTATTTACACAAATTTAAGTAAATAAATAGCTAAACCATTGGTAGATTTCCAAGCGCACTGATTCTGCGCACTGAAATGAACGATCGCAAGAGCAAATTTCGTGAGAGAAAAAATCCCTTAAGTTTTTATGCTCTCTTAACGCATTTGCTTGACCCAGCAGCTTGCCTTTTTACTGTTGGCTGCTAAGGATGTTTAGTCTGGTGGCAAACAGGGATTCTCAAATAAAGTTTTAAAAAGACACCAGCATGTTATGCAGCTGCTGATGGCTGGTGGCATCAGATTTGGCATAAAAGGGCTGATCTATTAACGCAAAAGAAGCACAGAAAGAATTTACAAAGTGCAGCAGTAGCAACATATAACTCAACAACATCACATTTTGCTTCACTTTGAACCTTGACTGAGGTGGTGCTAAAAAAAGTGGAAAATTCCCTGAAAAGTGAGTTGTACCAAACTATACCGTGCAGTAGTGATGGGAGAAACTACACTTTCAAAGCTTTGAAACAATTTAACAAATTGCTTCGCAAAATGTTTCACATTTTATGGACACCTGGTGGTCAAAACCATGTAAATGCAACTACCACTCAGTCAAAACATGCATTGGAACTGTTTTTTAAACATCTTATGAACTTTAAATTGAGCTAATAACTTATAAGCGCTCTTAGCTCATCATGTGATATCGTTCTTGATAAATGTTGACACAATGTGTTCTCATGAAATTTTAAAGGCTTTTTTATTGTTTGTTTTATTTTGTGCTTGGTTAAAAAGACCTTTCCATTCGGACAGACTCAGGTAAAAACTATTAAACCTGTTCAGTGATTTACCACTGGAGGGCGATGAATGAACCCGTGTGATTCGTGTTTTTTTTTATAGTACTGCTCAGATCGCCCACTAGTGGTGAACCAGTAAGTATTCAAAACTGTTATGACATAACGAAGCCTCTTTTACCGACATCACATGACCATGCAAATTATGTATGCGCTCCTAACCACTGATTCGAAAAATTTCTAAACGTTTCGAAGCATGATTCAGAAGCAGCCATCACTACTGTGCAGCGGAAAAAAAACGCTGTTTACATTCTTCTCTTTAGAAGATTACAGAAAACACTTAAAGGGATGGTTCACCCAAAAAGGAAAATATATCATCATTTACTCACCCTTTACTTGTTTTAAACCTTTATGAGTTTCTGTTGGACAGTAAAGAAGATATTGTGAGGAAAGCTGGAAACAATTAGCTTCCATAGTATTTGTTTTTCCCATTATGGAAGTCAACAGGTTTTCAGCTGTTCAACAGAAGAAAGAAACCACTTGAGGGAGAGTAAATATTCATTTTTGGGTGACCTGTTTCTTAAACAGTTTGTTCAGAGAGTTGTCTGGTCAAGCTGGACTGGATTGCTGGTTGTTGTCTGATTATGTTGTTTCACAACGCAGGTAATGTTCTTCACCGGGTTTGCCAAGGTTTCGGCTCTGCCGGTGCATTTGTGAGCCGGAAGATGAAGTCCGTTGTGGGGTTGGCGGTGTGTTCTCCAGGTTGATATTCATCCCAATTTAACTTTTCTCCACTCTTTACTAGTTTGTGTTTTCTGAGCTTTTCTGATAGTACACATGATGATCATCAATGTTGGCTTACAGGTGATATCTGCAAAGAGAAGCAGCACATGGAGATGAACACAGAGCGTAAACACTATTCCTACATCCACCGCATGCTCACAGTCTTGTGGGCTGTTGTTTCTTACACAGGTTATCAATCTTCAGATCTTTACAGCTTTTTCTTGTAGACATCGACTTTAGTATGTTATGCCCAGGGTGTCTGTGGGGTATTAAAAAGTAATTAAAAATCTTAAATTTCAAAATTCTCAAAAAAATAGGCCTTAAAAGTCTTAAATTTACTGTAAACTGTTTTGTACTGTAGGTCTTAAATCATTTTAAAGAGTTCTTAGAGAGAGCTACCCAATCAAGCCCATCTAATCAACAGCAATCAATTTCAATAAAAGTTTTAACAAACGTTTTATTTATTAACTGTATTTACCAATATGGATTAATTATCTTCCTTACAATAACATTTAATAGTTTATAATAGTTTAATATAATATAATAATTATAATAATAAAGTAGCTACCTGGTGAGGATATGGTCTTGGACGGACATTGCGTTGAGCATACATTTAGTTTATTGTAGTTTTAAACCCTTTTTTTTTTGTTGTTAAAAAACATTTCCAGCCAAAAATGAGAAACTTTATATGTGTGTTGCAAGTGTGCCGCAAGCCTACGTTTGAGTGAAGGTCTCGGCCGTTAGATCGCCCCCTGGGGGCTGGCTGCAGTACAAGTCATAAAGCCCGCCTTCTCCGTGTTAATGAAGGAGACTTGAGCCCAAATAAAAGAAATTATTACACTTGCAATAAGATGTCCCGAAAGATGGTTCTGGTCGATTAAGGCACTGGTTATTGTGCTATAATAGGTGCAGATCTTCATTTTTGTAAACAGTTTGTTTTTAGCAGTAATTTAATGCTGGGCGTGTCATCGTGATTGACAGCTGTGATTGACAGTTTCTCAAAGCGCGGCGTCTGAGCTTCGGCAGGAGACTGAAGTAGACTGAAATGTTATTATTCGATTTCTGTGTTATTTTACCATGACAAAATGAGTTCAGCAGTAAACTATAGTTTCAGACATACATGATCCTGGTGGAACACTGTTTATTCGCTAAGTTCAGGGCTTTTTTCGGGCCTTATTAGTTTGCTGATACACGCCTAGCCACCCAGATAGCAAGACACAGTTCCGGCTAGATTCTCGCCTGCCGGAGACTTATCTCTTAGAGCTCAGACTGACTAATGTTACCTCTGCTGGACCTACTCCGGATGCCTGGACTCACTGCCCGATTCCAGTCCGAGTCAATCGAGCCAGTTTGTGCCCGTCAAGCAGGCGTTTTGCCCTCAAGGCGTTCAATGGGAAAAAGGGCTGTCGCGTCGTCCATATTTTTTACAGTCATTGGTGTGTTGCCTGTTAGTTTATACAACAACTTTGTTGTTTTTGTGACTGAAAATGCATAACGGAAAAACCTATGAAAAACTAGAAAACTATGGCACCATGCGAGTAAATATTACATGTCTAGCGTAGTGCAGATTAACGTCATACAAAAACAAAAACGCACAACAATGGCGGAGTACGTTTTGTCAGCAAAGTGTGTATTTACTTCACATTACAATCAAAAGTACAGACACATTTTACTAGGGCTGGGCGATATTGCAAAAAAACAATCACGATTTCATATCATTTGATATTGATAATTACTGAATATTTTTTAATAATACATTTAGGAATAATGTTTTTTATTTTTTATTTAACCACTTTTTTTCCCAACGTAATTGTTTTAATAGTCAAAAAACAAAATATTTTAACAAAATATCTAATCTTTTCGTAATAAATTAAACATAAGTGTTAAAGAGACTTGATAAGTAAACTGTTATAAAGTGTGTGCAATGGTAAAGCGTAAACACTGAACAATCAAAGCAAACTTTAAGGTGTAAATAATAATGATACAGCAAACCTCAAACTGATAACAACGCAAATTATGAGAATCAAATCGGAGCTTTCAAGTAAATGAACCAACTATCATTATTTAAATACATACTGCAACATTACAAATTGTGAAGTTCAATGCCTTTATTACTCCCTAGGCTAAATAAAATCTTTTTAATAGGGTGCTAGTGGCTGGGATGTTGTTGTTCTGACCTGAAGTGACAAGCGTGCGCGTTGATTCCTTCACTATTTACAGTGGGCTTTGCTGTCACTTCTCTGGCGTTGCTTGTAACTAGGTGACCAACAGGCATTTTTTCAGAGGATGACAAACAAAAACCATTGCTGCAGTTTTGATGTAGGATTATGGAGAAAAGTAAGAATCACTGCAGTGTTTGTCTGAGGTAATTAGTCTTCCGACATTACTAAAATGTGTATATTTCATACAAAGTGTGAAGCAGATTGGTTAGTTCTACTTGCATGAATCGCGGTGTGCTTAAAGCATTCGGAAAAGTTGAGATGTTTTCAACTAGCCGTGGCTGGAAAATGCGTGCCATGCTCCCTTGTGCGTGTCATGCAAGTCGCACACCTTCATTGGAAATGGCAAACTGACACGCTAAGTTTATTGGCATTGCTTCCAGGGTGAGCTTATCAGCCACATTTTAGTACATCTATAGCGCTTCATACCAAAACTACATACCGAATTTTTTATTTTATTTATTTATTTTTTTAAATCGATATTGACAATGGTGTTCGGTCAATAAATACCGATTCTGATTTTATTGCCCAGCCCTACGTTTTACACATACCAGCTGCTAAGCCACTGACGGCACCTTTTCACTTACTGGTATCGTTTACTACACAATATATATAGCGGAAAAATATCGTTATCGCGACAATAGTATATGTAGTTTGCATATCGCAGAAAAGTGCAATAAAATAAGTTCATTTTGTGTGTCAAGTATTTGTGTGCTTCAAGCGCAGGTTGTTTATCTAAATCAGACCAGTCAGATACGGTCTTTATTACCTTTATCCCACCTCTCCAGTAGGTGCTGTTTTTTTGCCGAGGTTTTTAATCGTACGTGGTGCTTTAAAGTTTAAAGTTCATAGATTTTAGATTTAATTAGCTAAAAAAAAAACTATTGCCTATTTATTTTAGTATGGTCATTAAATACATTATTTTTTATTTTTGCTGATTAAATAGTACTTTTGCAAGTTAAATATATAGTAATATATATCATTATCGCAACACACAATAACACATTTTCCTAGTATTGTATAGCTCTAATGGCCTGCCGTACGTAAAATATTCTTTAGCCATTTTCTCAGATGTGTAAATGTGGACTGTTTCAAAAATGTCATGTAGTTGTGAACATTTTTTAAAACTGCACGAGAAAGATCACCATCGTTTTCATGGAAACAACGTTAGTTTTGTCTCTTTATAAGCTTTCATGACAACACCATAATGACTCGATGTAAAACACTAAAGTTACTTCTTTTGTGGGTTAAATCTGGACTGGATTGCTGGCTGTTGTCTGACTGTGTTGTTCTGCGACTCAGGTTACGGTCTTCTTCGGGTTTGCCGAGGTTTCGGCTCTGCCGGTGCATTTGTGAGCCGAAAGCTGAAGTCCATTCTGTGGTTTGCAGTGTGTTCTCCAGGTTGATATGATTCCGACTCCAGCATGCTTGACTTTTTTTTTTTCTCTCCCTCACTTTCTCCTGTCCTTCTGATCAGGGTTTATTAAACCAGCACAGTCTTTAACTATTTAAATATTTGTTAAAATATAATTTAACTTTTTCTAGAGGAATAAATTAATAGAAAGACAGAGCAGCAACAGATATTTGGAATAAGAATTTAGTTTGAAACATTAATAATTACTGTAATCTAATTGTAGCATTAATACTTAATTGTATTATTATTATTGTTGTTACTATTGCATGTTTCATCGCTAAATTAAGTCAGCAATATCCAAACTTTTGGACAATGTGCTGGTTTGGTTTTTCCTGATATCAAACAAAATTATCAAACATGATATTTGATTGAGACTCCAGCATGCCTGTCTGTCTGTCTGTCTCTCACTTCCTTCTGTCCTTCATTATCAGACATCATTTGACAGTATTTTTTATCCTTCTTTTCAACAATAGTGTATCAACATCTCCTTCTTTCTGAAATCTGAACTCATTTTAACCAGTGCTTCCTTTCTTAACTTTTCAGCTGTGGTGGTTGCAGTGCATCCGTGTCTCTGTGTCTGATTCTCCGACTAATAATCATCATCTGTGAATCTTTTTGTGCTGTGTTTGATGTCCTCCTCTTGTGTTTTGAACAGGGAAAGCAGCGACTGGCGCCTTCTGGTGGCTTGGAACAGGATGGTATCAGCTGGTGGCTCTCATGTCTCTCATCAACGTCTTTCTTCTCACTAGGTAAAAGTTCACATTAGTGCTGCACGGTACTGGAGAAATATGAGATATTGTTGAGTATGAACGATAGCAATACTTCTTACAATATATCATTTCCCTAGAAAATGTCAGTTTTTTTTTTATTAGCAATGTTTTAAATCATTTATTTATTTAATAGTAAAAAACTGGTCAAATGTATGTTTTAGATCTAATTCAGACAAAAAAAACTGTCAAAATCATTAAAACACTATGAATGATTGAAAATTACTTTAATTATGAGTGTCTATTACATTACACTATTACATTGAGCAAGAAGCTTCAGCCAATTGCAGAACAGCAACCACTGCGGAGGTGGGGATAAAGATGGAATGGCACCATCTGATTGGTCAGATTTAGATAAACATCCATTGCATAAAATAAATGTCATTTATCGCAAATGTCTCAATATGTATATCGCATATACTACAATGATAAGCTTGCAAAACATTAAGCAGCCTTAGTTTACCTAAATGTTTTCTTCTTGCTTCTTTATTAAAATGCATTGTTTAATCATGTTGATTGTTCTCTTTGGTTATGCGTTTATGATGAATGTTTTTGAGAGTGGTTTATTGTATATTTGTCTGTCAGGTGTCTGCCCAAACTACTGAAGCTGCTTCTGTTTCTGCTGCCGTTTCTGCTGCTGTTTGGTGAGGACTCATTGAATTGATTTGAAGTAAAATCTGACGCTGCATGAAAGTAGTAGGATTTGCTTTTTGGATGAGTTGGAAGATTGGATATACACTATCATTCAAAATCTGGAGTAGAAGTCTGTGTGTGCATGTGCGTGTATAATACTTTTTTTCAACATGGACTAATTTAACCCTTTGTCCTGCAAAGAACCATAAGGTAAAGTCATTGACAGTAGCTATGTTTCCATCTACCTATTTTTAGGTGCATTTTGGAAACGGTTGATGGACACACCAAGATGAGCATAAATTTGGAAAATTTGCAATAAAAATGCACAAAACTGTAATTTTTAAAAAGGCATCAAGAAAAAAAGTACTTTTGCTTTAAAAAAAAATAATAAAGTGTAAAGACCCAATTCACATAAAACAATGTATACATTAAGTGGCTTTATGTGTTTGTGGGAAAGGCATGTCAGAAAGGGTGGATTTCTTTGTGAAAAACACTTTCAATCCAATTGAGAGAAATATGCAAACAAAAGTTCTCTATTAAAAGCTGTCAGGGTTTTTGTATTTTCTTTCGGTGGCAGAGAAACCATTATAATGATCCAGAAATTCCTCTATAAAGCCACTGGCACTGATCTGCAGCCACACTTGTGCAATCATTGGTAGTTCAACCCAGATGGCTCTACTTACTCTCTGGATTGCTTTCACACTTCTCCACGGTTGCTCAACACACACACACATTCTCCACTTCTCCATTCCCAAAACCAGAGGTGTGGCTCTAAGTTACATTTATAAATTGAGTCACAAAAATGTCAATTATATACTGTATAAAGGAGCACACCTCTATTTTAAATCAATATTTTTTATAGGATTCTTTGCAATAATGTATTTGCATATAGAAATTCTTCTGTTTCTAGAGACAATGGAGTTGCACCCAGGTCAGTCTGTGGTGGAGTTGCAGTGCCTAGTATACTATATACATTAGATTAGTCAGTGCCAAAGCCAAATCTGGAACTAATCTAACAAAACTTACAAGCCAAATAAAATATTAAGTACATTTTAATAGACAGGATAAATCAACGAAAACATTTTAAAATATTAATTTTATTTATTTAAAAAAAAAAATTTTCAATAAACCAATTATTATGATCTTAAAGATGTTTTTTCCTAAAGATGTTTTTGACCATTCTCTTATTTTATGGATATACTCTGGGTGAAATAAGTGTTGAATACGTCACCATTTTTCTCAGAAAACATATTTCTAAAGGTGTTGTTGACTTGAAATTTTCACCAGATGTTGGTAACAACCAAAAAAATCCATCTATGAAAAAAAAACAAATCTAATTAGTTTACAAATGAAGTTATGTGTATTAAAATGTAATGACACAGGAAAAAAGTATTGAACACATGAAGAAAGGGAGGTGTAGAAAGGCAGTGAAAGCCCAGACAGCAGCTGAAATCTCTCAGTAGTTCTTCAGCAATCCTCTGCGCTTCCTCAGTGTAAAGGAATATTAGCTGCTTCAGTCCAACATCTATATTAGCAGGATAATGAAGATGAAACCAGGACATTTTAGCAAGACAATAATCCAAAATACAGCAAAAGAAAATCTCAAATGATTTTAGAGAAAGGAAATC